AAAAGTTTAATAATAAGAAAGGTAATGAAGGGAGAGTGATAAGATTAGAAGGCAACGTTGTTAATGAGATAGGCTAGGAATTACCTGAGTGGGTTGAGCGTAATGACAAACTGTTTTGAACACATAAAGGGGGCTTAAATTTGTGAGTAACTAGCGATCTAACAAATCCAGGCATACGCCTCTGACAGTTTCCATGAGAGATTGTAAAGTCTGTCTTAATATAAATCCTGTAATCTTTCTCAATAATATGTTTTGCAGCAGATGATGATGGTAATCTGCTACTTGCACTCATCGATGTTTGTGAATCCATCTGGTTTTGTAGCCATTTTGTTAAATATTCGTCTACACTCAAGTTCATATCTCGATTAGTCCTTCCTATGTGTGTGTGTTCACACACATGTGAACTTACAAATGCACTAGGACGCGACGCGACCATTTAAACAGCATTTAGTTCTGTGTTGCAACATGTTTGGTTTTATCAGCTACAATGAGCTTAACTACGCAGTATGTTTTCCTAATGGCAGACCTTAGCCTTCGTTTTAAAATTACATCGTAAGATTCCCATTTGTATGTTAGCAGGATGTAAACGTATTTTTTGGAACGGAATACAGTCTAGTTTTCAACCCTAACAAATTTCTGCAATTGTTTGTGAACTTCAGTGAGTGTCCATTTTCCAATAACATTTCAGTTAGTATTGTGAACCATCATCCATTGAGTTTTCTGTACAGATACGCTGATCCTGTTGAATAGGCACATTATCAGACCTCGCTTGTATTGAGTTGGATAACAGCTATTGGGACTTTAATGCTGTGCAAGTAGGTTTCCTGTTTATCGACCGTTTTATTGGACTATCTTTCTTATGACTCAGGACTATATCCAAGAACAGAAGAGATGATTATCTTTCTCTTATTCGCACATTTAGCATATACTGTTTTGTACGCCGTTAATTCTTTCTCGCGAACATGTCACATCTTCATACGTGTCACGCCACGATAACACCAGCATATCTTTTGTGAAAAGTAATTTAATAATGAGGTCGCCAGCCAAGCCTTCAATATATGACATGGTCCTAGTGGACTTCTCATGGCCAGGCAGTCCGCCTGTCAAAAACACTCACCTTTTAATGTGAAATGAAAATTATCAGTACAAAATAACAGCAGCTCTCAAACATAGTGAAAGAGCAGAGAAAGTGAAATTACTAGAAGATATATAATCACATGGAATGTTAGTGTTTTTAGTTAGAAGCACGTTAGTAAATAAAGGGTTGAAATCAGAGGAACATCAACTCTTTTTTCTGATATTAAGATCACTGAGATTGCCAACGAGTTGAAATGTACCAGATGTATGGAGAAAATGCATCACATTTTTCAGATAAACTACTTCTTCTGATTACGTTACCAGAATTTACAGAAGGGAACAACTGTTTCAAATTCTTGATAAATAGTTGTTTATTATAACGTTGCTGTTAAGTGATAGTAAAATCTGCTTCTTCGATCCTGTACCAGCTGTCTCATCTCCGTGGATCGTAATCATAACTTGTTGTTTACTGAGAGAAAATACAGCTCCCCATTTTATTACTATAAACTGTATCACACTTTATTTAGAGATCACTTTAAATGTAAATTTCAGCAGCTTTTCGACAGACAGGCAAAGGAGTAGACGCCCTGTGGTTCTCACAACTTAATACAATTTTTCAAAAGCAGTTGAATAGCTAGAAAAGTTTTGATAAAACTAATCTCTTTTCATTGAGAGCAAATAAACTAACAACAAGCGTTTAAGGAAATTGATTTGTCTAACCTCTGAAAATGATTTGGTGAGAAAATATTCAGATGGTTTGAAAGACTGAGTACTTCCATAATTCATAGTTCGAAACAAACCTTCACAAGTAAATGTTAGTGCATTTCCGGGTTAGTATGATGTCAATTGATGCAAGCAGTTACTAACTGAACACGTATATTGGATAACTTATGTGGTGATTGCTTTTGTCTTTAGAGAGGTTTGAAAAATGAAGCCTTTTGTCTATTCACATGAATGCTTATTACTTTGCTAATCTTCATCACGTTTTCTTTCTGTGTCACACTTTAGTTGGAATATATTTGATTAGCTTTACGTTTTTGAATTATTAGTTGGTTATGCATGAATTTCATGAATTAATCCATTGGAAGGTATTCCATCAATATTTCACTAAATTAACTTATTCATTTGCCAGATGCTTTCGGACATTTTGACCATGAAACCTAAGTACAATTCAGGATTTGAATGTATGATTTATCTCAGACTTAGGCACATTATCCACTTCTTAAAAGTGGATAGTGCAAAGCGGAATGCTAGATCAATGCAGTCGGCATTGTAGTAACCTATTTTGAACTCATATGCCGTTTCTGTCTTATCATGAATGAGAATTAAGTTTTATTTACGTGTGCATCTTCTCTTTTTAATGATGATTTAATCAATATCAGTAGTGGTTTGACCGAGCAAAGTTTATTTCACCATGTTTCACGTGTACTGAAATTTTTTAAATAGCTTTTCAAAGTAAAGAATGAGTAAAGATTGATACTTCAATGTCTGTAGGATGAATATTTTTTACTTCTTCATTACTGAAGCATTAAAAGACTACATTACTTAATGTAAAACACATATCAACATCAGTGACAATTTAGTAGACGAGTTATCTTGCAGCAACCGTATGTAAAACGGAGCTGCAGTAGATTGATTGTAACAGTAGTCATTTATTAATGATATTTATCACAACACAAAACCCTAAAGAGAAGTCAACTGGAAACCAATTTTAATTCTTGAGCATTAATAAGAATTGGATTTCACCTGTTATGAATCAACTTAGTGGTAGATATCTGCAGTGCAGCTCTGTGACCTTCAAATAAAATAGCCACATTTTAGAATACAACTGTTTCACACAGAAAATAGTTTTGAAATACATACATGTTATGTTAAAAGCTAAATTAGTCGATTTCCTAACGCCTGTTTTTTTAATTGGTTGGGGATTTTCAGACAGAATTTTGACTCAACACAAGACTTTTAACTCAGATACTCATACCTGTGTTTATATGTAAGAAGCCTTATCCTCTGAAGTGTCTAATTTAACTATCTCTGCTTTTTATTCAAATTTTTCTTTGAGTAAACATTCTGCCTAGCCTAATTAACCTGCTATCCTTTATTTTTCTTCATGGTATATGTCTGAAAACCGCCTTGCTTTGTCTTCATTCTGCTTTCTGATAGTTAGATTTATATGTGTATATTTATTATTATTATTTATCCCTTGGGTTTCTAATGGAATATATGGCTTCAGTAGCACGTCTCCAGTGCACTCTCTTCTCTGCAATCTTTTGAACCTGGCCCCACGACTACCCACAAGCTCTCATTTCCTCCTCACACGATCTCCTCCATGTCATCCTCAACTGCGACGCCCAACTCGTCACTCCTCATGGGGATTCCACTCGAGGGACTGACGCGTGATGTTGCCAGTCGGCGTTCTCAGTGTATGCCCAATCCATCTCCACTTCCTCCTGCATATTTGTTGGGTGATAGGTTCTTGGTTGGTTCGTTCCCAGAGCTCCTTGTTGCTTATTATTTCTGGTCATCTGATCTTCAGTAACGAGCCAGCGTAGGCAGTTGTTGATGAATGTGTGTAGTTTGTTGGAAATGCCTTTCGTAACGCTCCAAGTCTCTGAACCATACAGAAGCACTGACTTGACTGAATTGGTGTTGAAAATCGGGATCTTGTTCTTTGTGATGAGTGGAGTGCAGAAGATCTCCACACTGGTTTCAGGTTAATGAACGCCTGTCTTGCTTTTCCGATTTTGACTTTGACATCCTCGTCTGTGCCACTGCCGCCTGTAGTTGAAACATTGCTTCCTAGATAGGTGAAAGAGACTACTTCCTTTAAGTTTCTCCCGTTGATGGTGACTGGAGCTTGTTGTTGTTGTTGTTGGTGGTGTTGGTTGGATATCTTCATCACCTCTGTCTTTTCTATGTTCACTTGAATTTCCGTCTTAGCTGCCTCTTCTGCCAACTTGTTGGTTTTCGCCTGTAGATCTTCAGGTTTGTGCGACAAGATACTAGACATAAGTCATCATTGGCGAAATGCAAATCTTCTTCCCGGGTCTGTCCATCGGTTCAGCCAGTGTATGCACATCTTCTCGCCCCTCACGGTTTGTTGCATGATCCAGTCCACTGAAATCAGGAATATCATGGGTGATAGTAGACAGCCTTGTTTTACTCCTCTCTTCATTTCAAAGGCATCACTGAGCTTCGCACTATGAATTACTTGCATATGGTGTCTTCATATAGTTGTTGAATGAGATTGATAAAGGTTTGTGGTATTCCATAGTTTTGAAGCAACTGCCAAATTACTTCTCGGTTGACGCTGTCAAAGGCCTTTTCAAAGTCGATGAAGTTGAGGTAGATGGTTATATGTATATTTATGGAATGTAAATCATTCTCCATTACACCCAGTAAATACTTAACAGTACTTGAGAAATATTGGTTTTCATAAGATAGTTTTAGTGACCAGTATCAAACTCTTGGCAATAACTTAAAAATTAGTATCATCAAGTTGTTGAATACTTTCGTTTATCTATTTTGTTCTTGTTATAGAAAAATTTTAAGGATTTGTTGAGGTTTATACCGATTATTGTTTTACTTCCCCAGACGCCAGTATCCTGTTTTGTTAATCTACTAACACCCGTCTGAATTATACTGTTATCCCAAGGTTGATTCACTTCTGTACGTTGAATGTATGATCTGGAATGAGTTATGAGGAACTCTGTCGAGAGTTTGGATGGAATAGTACTTTTACTTACCTCAGAATCTCACATTCATCTCCGAGTGCAAAAGACTGTGTCACATTGTTGAGTTGTACTCTTCGTTTCAAGTATCATCAGGAGTAAAGCTTTGAAGTCTATAAACGTTTTGTAAACTTTCTGTTGGAAAATGTGTCAATAACGAATTGATAACTCTTTATATTTTTCATTTTTTGATAGTGTTCACCGGCCTGTTCAGTCTCTATTTTCAACATCCAGTGGATTTAACAACTTTCGTGGTCTTTTAAATCTGGCTGCATTTCTGTTGCTTGTTTCAGCATCTAGAATGGCTTTAGAAAATATCATTAAGTAAGTTTACACTTTAAATAATATTTCTCTTCAGGAATTGACTTTTCTTGACTTTGAAATAGTCTTCCGTTTTATAAATTTTAAGCTTAATTAGAAAACAAAGCTTATCTCAATAATATGATGCATTTATACTACGTATTTTTGAAATTCTCCACAGTGGTTACTTTATTCAGCTTGGAGTTTATTTCACAACTGTCGTGTTCTGATGGATTTGTAGCATTAGAACAAAAAAAATACTGTAGACCAACCAATTAAATAAATTTACTCTTAGTTTTGGAATACTTTGCAAAAGCATAATATAGTTATCTTCAAATTACTTTCACTGGATTACAAACTGGATTGACTGAATCTTATGCCTAATCTTATGATCAGTTGAATGCAAAATCAGAACAATTTATCCCTAATATACAGGTTACTTAAAGTGCCATTTAAATGTTGATATGCATAAAGTGCACATTCATTTATAGTTGATGTGATTTAAAGGATCTTTACTTTGTTACAATCGAAACATCCACTTCCTGTTTAAAATAATTTAGCTGTATAGTAAATAGGGACCAGCGCTAATTATTTAAAAAGTAACATTTCCGATCTCAGTGTCATGCAGAAAGGCCGAGCAAATGCACCGAGGTTCTTAGTTTTAATGAGAAGTAACTTTAAACACAGGTCAGTGGTATTTAAAGAAGCAACACCAGTCCATAATTACTTACTAGGTACTTTTTTTAACAGACTCATCAGGGATGTCTACTTTTCCGTTATCATGACTACGGTAAAGGTATTAGTCTTCCAACCAATGCTCAACTTTTACATGGTTAAATTGGTTGCAGATGGATGGCCAATTTAGTTTTAAGGCTAAAGTCATAACCGAAATCCAAAGATTAGAAAATCTTTAGTACCTATGCAACCAAATATCATTATATGACTTTAGAATTTATTTATAGTGGGTTGTTTAGAGTTAGTCAAAAAATTAATCTGTACCATAATATCCTGCTTCGTTTTATCCCACCACCGAAAGACTGATACTTCTATTTTTATGATTTTTACTAGTTAAACACCAAACAGTGGTCAATCTTGTGGTTTGTTACTTAACCTGAAAGTTACCCCGCATTTCAAGTGCCTTATCAACATTGAGAGGTTGAATACTGCATTGTTTACTTATGATTTACTGACTTGCCTGGAAGGTGGTTTGTTTAGACCTCAGGTAGTTTATATTAGCATATAAGGCTCATGCATTCACCATACAGACTAATATTCTAATGTCTGACCTAAAAATAAGCGACTTCTATGAGAATTCGGCAGGTAAAACAGGTGTTTTGTACTCTTAGGCTATTATCAATTATTCAGATAGTATCAATTCAGAATGCTAGTTATCTCCACTTATCCTCAAATCTATTTTACCTTGTTAAATATATCATCTTATCCTGGAAGCTCCAATTCATTTACAAGCGCAAACCTAAGAAATTAGTTTTGATGGAGTAGATTGTTTGCTGACACTGAATTATAGTTCAATGGGAATGAAATTTCGTAGGAAAAAATATTTTCTTTTGTTCGGAAGATAGTTGGATTGGCACAATAGTTTTACCATTCCGCCAAGGTACAAACGAAGAGTTACAAAGAATTTTAAGAAAGCACCGAATCAGGACCTTTTACAAGACAACCAACACTCTGAGAAATGCTCTAGTCCACGTAAAAGATAAAGTCCCTTTTACCTCCACACAAAATTGTGTCTACAAATTAGGCTATGTCGACTGTGATGCTTATTATATTGGAGAATCATCCCGTGAGATCCTCATTAGGGCTAAAGAACATGCAAGCTACACAAAACGACCACCAAACAATCCTGTAGAACAAGAGAACCTACATATCACGTCGGCAATCGCTGTTCACGCCATATATCACAGTCACAAAATCGATATTGAAAATATTAAAATTATTCAAAAGGAATTTTCAAACTACAAAGAAAGAAGAATAGCAGAGGCATGTCACATCATGTTGAATCCTAATGCACTCGGGTAACAGAAAAGAAGGCCTAACTATCCAACCAGCCTGGACAGTATTTCCAAAAACAAAAACAACACATCACGCACAATGATGTGGTCAAAAGTATATACATACAAACAAACCGAATTTTGTTATTCGTTATTATTATTATATTATTATAGTCTCTTGGGTTCCTAATAAAACATAGGCTTCAGTAGCACGTCTCCAGTGAACTCTGTCCTCTGAAATCTTTTCAACCTGGCTCCACGACTGCCCACAAGCTCTCATTTCCTCCTCACACGATCTCCTCCATGTCACCCTCGGACGTCCAACTCGTCGCTTCCCATGGGGATTCCACTCGAGGGCCTTGGCGCGTGATGTCCCCAGTCGGCGTTCTCAGTGTATGCCCAATCCATCTCCACTTCCTTCCACCGCGTATTTGTTGGGTGATAGGTTCTTGGTTGATTCATCGCCAGCCAGCCAGAGTTCCTTGTTGCTTATTCTTTCTCGCCATCTTTGTCATTCATATTATTTATTATTTTTTCACACCCAGTCACATATACACATATTCATATCACCTTGAACTCCAGACTAATTAACTCATACACAAAAAAAAATTGTGAGCGCTTCCTGACCAGCGTAACGATGACATTCACGTTCATATTATTATCATGTATAGACAATGTGATCTGATTCGTGACCTTTTACTATTTAAACTATTCGATAACTTGTACAGATTTTATTCTCTGAAGAAGCGATTTCCACGAAGTCGCGAAACGTCAGAAATTTATTTTTCTACTTCATTGGGATTTTACAAAATATATTTCATTTATACTTAGTTGGGTTTTTTAAAACACTATTTCATTAAACTTGCACATGAAATATTTTTGTTTTGTGACTATTTCGTTTCTCCCTGGCATGAATTCTGTTGCTTCTGGTCAAATATTTTGGCAATAAATACGTTTTATTAGTCACAACAGTAACCTATTCACTGTTTTTATTTGAATAATTTGTGTCACGCAACAACCTATCGAAAGCTGTTATGAACACACTTACTTTTGTACCACATTCTTGTAATCTCTCTCGATCGATTTTTCTGTTACCCCACCGATACATATTTTGATTCGATTGATGTACTTCAGCCATAATCAAGATAAAATAACCTAATTAATTAGTCTGGTAGCTTGAGATTCGATATTTCAGTACATGAGCTAGTTTTTATTGTACTACCGATGAGCATATGGCTGGTTAATATCAACTATTTCATGCACTTAACACTATTACACCGAATCAACACAGTTACTCTCTGATTTCTTCTATCAATTTACAAATTCCTTCACCATCAAATGTTTCTTTGTGTTACAGTATCCGTTTAAAGATTCCTTCAAAATTCAAAGGTTTTTTGCCTAGATTATCTCAGAATAACAAGAAGTAAGATCACCTTCATCAGCAGTTTAGAAGGAAATGACAACTAGCCGAACTACTTATCAGCGATGAGTTCATTACTCTGCCATGCTTGTAAACATTCTCCTACTTAATGTACTAGAGGAGGAGTGAAACTCAAGAAACAAAAGTTACTCTTCTGTAGTTAAACTTTGGCTTGATTTTTTTAAAAGTTGAAAGTCAAATACGGCTGCATCACCCCAGAGAACTCTTAATTGGATTGGTTTTCCTCACTAAATGACTTTTATCACGCAATCAACCTCACTCCTGATGTATATGAATTTATTTATTCTTTTGAGCTAGTCAAAGAAAGTATTGTCATAGACTTCACTGTAACAAAGTGCATCAAGTAATCGGTAAAGCCTTGCTATAATTCAGAAATAAATATTAACATAAAGTGTCTCTTATATATTTTATCCCTCGACTGTATGCTGAAGCTCATAAACGACTTTCGTAATGAATGTGCAAGCAGTATCACTCAGTGTTAACAACCGTGTTAAAGAACCATCCAGTATGGTGTAAAAGGTCACGGCTGGTGAAAAACCATCACTGAATTAGACAATGTTAGTTTGGAATGATAATCTCCAGTTATTATTCACGTTTTAGTTATATCTTTTGGCACTAGTCTAACGGTTTCTCAAATTGTTATCAAATGACCTGTTTATTATTGTGAACATGTTGAAACTGGTCTAATTACTGTGCGTACACTTTTTCTCCATTTCTTTCAACTATAATTAAGGCATGGCTTTGACTGTTTTTTCATCTGAATTGGTCACTGACTGATTAAACATGTAGATGTGAAATCCTAGCTATTGGCTTAAGTTCAATTATCACGTCTATATGAAGTGTAATCCGTTCAGGTGCTGAACCCTGTTGACCTATCACTTTTCAGTTCCCTTAACTTTGCTTCCTATCGAAATCATTAATATACAAACTTTTTAATAGAAGCTATGTAGTTGAGTGTAGACTACCTGTTTCAGGTGTTTAGAAATTTGAAAGTCGCTTTGTGGAAAATCTAGATTACTCAGAATCTGTAACAGTCATAAGCGAGACATCGAGTCTCGTTTCTTCAAAGTTTTTCTTCCAAACGATCACGTCTTTTTTGCGGATTAATGAAGAAAGAAATTAGTGGATAAACCCTTTTGTAGCGACATTATTCCTAAGTGTTGTACAGTCGTATCCAATTACAGCTAGAGCATATATTTAATGGTTGAAAATATCAACATGCTTTCTGTAATAATAACTTGCAGTAGGTTATGATGAGGAAGGTATTGCTGGAATTAAAAGATGCACACTCAGCACTGGGCGTGTAAGCAACTGCTGTCAAAAGAGTCTAAGCTGAAGTCAAGAAATAAAAGAACACAACAGAGTGAATCAGTAGTTCATCATAACGGTGGGGATGTGAAGTACATTTATGGGTTTCTTTGCGTATTAGAAAAAGCAAAACGAAAAATGATTAACGCATTCGCCATGAAAGCTGAAGGTCCTGAGTTATTCACTAGCCAGGTCATGAGGGCACACTGCTGAGGAGCTCCCTACTAGGACGAAACAGATGTCTAGTACTCTTAGGTTTTCACTGG